CGGCCCGGGAGAGGCTGCAAAGAGCCGCCAGCCTGGTCCCAGGAAGAGGCGGAGGGCTGGGTGGCAGCGGGTAGCTGGTTTGTGCTGTGCCAGGTGCAGGGTCTGCTGGCTGGGTGCTGGCAGGCTTGCACCTGGCATGGGAACCGTAGCCAGACCGTGCCCCTTTAAGGGCTCCGGGGCTGGGAGGGGGGCAGTAGAGTTTCCCTGGTTGCCAGAGTGGCCACCAGGGCAAGCTGGGGAGGGCTTGCCTCCCACTAGTTCGAATTAAGTGGCTACACACCCCTTAATTCGAACTACTTAATTCGAACTAGGCATTAGTCCTCGTAGAATGAGGTTTATCTAGTTCGAATTAAGTTTGAACTAGCGGTTTGATTGTGTAGCGCCTATCAAAGTTAATTCGAACTAATGGCTGTCACACTAGTGGTGTGTCAGCAGCAACAGTTATACTCACAAATGAGGGGTGGGGAACAGTTATATCCCTGAATGACCACAAGGGGGCAGCAAGCACCCTGGCCCTGGGGAGCAGCAGCTGGCCAGGCTGCATGACCATGGGCCGCCTTATTGAGAAACTGATGGGTGGGCTTTGTGGCCCCCAGCATCCTGGGCAGCAGTTGCTGGCCACCCAGCATGCCCCCTACTGCCCTGGCCATCCTGGGGAGCAGCTGCTAGGCAGGCCGCATGGTCCCCGCTATCAAGCTTCTTCCCAGGGCAGAATCCGGCAGACAGGCTGTCCTGGTGGGAAAACTGGAGGCCACCCCTCTGACTTGAGTCCCTTCCACTGAACCACCACCCCCAATCTTCTGTCCTGACTCCTGCATGCCCCACCCCATTCCCTGAGCCCCTCCTCACCCCCCCAATCCTGACTCCTGCACTTTCCCACCCCCTGCCCTTAAGGACCCGAGCAATGCCGGGTAAGTCTTCTAGTGTTTTATAGGATAACTCTTTTTTCAATCAAAAATAGATTAAAATTATGCCTCATAGCAGAAGTATTTTTAACTGTATGGAAAAGTTACTCGTCTATGTGGGAGCAGTGTCCTGTCACTATTTATTAAAATTTATTTAAATTCTTCTATTTATCCTCTTCTCCACCAGAAGATTAGCTGTAAGCAG